GCCCTTTGTTTTGCAATTCCCAGGCTGAGGAAACCAGCCCCTCCCATCCCTGCCATCCCCCCAGGGCTTGGTTCTGTCCCAGTTTTAGGAAGAGCTCTGTTGTTTGGGCACCAGGAGACAGAAGAGGCCCTGGCCAGGCCAGTGAGGGCTTAGGCGCTCTAATATCGGGATTATTAAACATATGTTCGTCCTTTGGACATCCTTGTGTGCCTGCTGGGGATTTCCTGGCAGCCCAGGCAGGGAATCTGGGGGGCACCTTTGGTGGGAGCTGATGTTTCCAGGGCAGCCAGGGGCCGGTGCCATGCCTGGAGCAGGGAGGAGAGGCCTTTTCCAGGAGCAGGAAGATCAGGGCTGGTGGGGGGTGTGGGCAGATCCCCCACCCTGATGCCTCTCCCTGCCCCTGGAGCAGCCAGGATGCCCAGGCTGAGCCCCAGCAGCCAGGTTCCATGGAAGTTCAGCAGGAAGGAGCCTTCCTGGTTTTTCAGGTGCTGGTTTCAGGTCTAGGAAAGTTTTTTCCCAAGTTCTGGGATTAACACCGTGGCCTGGAGCAGCGTGGATGTGTGTGGGATGAGACCCTGGAATTCAGCACTCTGACCTTGCAGTTACCCCAGCTGATGCTTCCCTGGTGCAGAATTAGGTCCCCATTAAATGGATTTTACTGGCACGTGTTGGAAGACACAGCCTGGACTCCCTGGCCAGGAGGCTGCTGCAGCTCCAGGATTCCCAAGGCTGGAAGCAGCTCTGTGATCCTGTCCCTGGGCAGTGGGAAGGAAAGTCATGCATTGTGGAGAAATCCATGGAGGAGCTGAAGAAGTGTGGAATGTTGTGCCAGGTGAAACTGGGGAGGCCTGGACATGCTGGAGAGGCCTGGACATGCTGGAGGGGGTGCAGTGCAGGAGAAATCCCCACTTGGGGAGCAGGGAGAGCTGTGTTCCTGCTCATGCAGTGCTGGGGACTGGCTTGGAGGGGCCAGGGGCCAGCAGCCAGGGCTAGAGCTGTTCCAGCAGGCTGCTCGTGCTGGATAACCCCACCCTTCCCCAGGGAGAGCCTTTCCAAGGCAGGTTTCATCAGAGCCCCAGCCTGGAGCTGCTTCCAGCCTGATCCAAAGCAGATGGACACTGTCCTTTGGAGCCGGGGGAGGAGGGCAGAGCAGAGCCCAGGCACGCTCTGCTGCTCCTGGGAAACGTGACAGGGAAGGGGAAAGCAACACCTCCAGCCCGGCTGCTCCCTCTGCTTCCACGGGGCCTTCCTGGGAGCCCTCCAGAAAGTTTGGCCCTGCAGGAGCACCACAGGCAGGGTTTGTGCCAGGCCCATCTCTGCTCCTCCCCTGCCCCTTGTTCCTGCCCCTGTGGGATCTGAATCCCTGTGACCTCTCCTCTCCCTGCCCTGGAACATTCAGGGCTCCAGCTGCAGGGCTGTGGACGGGCAGGTTTGTCCAGCCCACACAGCTCTGCTCTGCTGGAGACATTCCAGGATGTGTCCTGGATCTGCTGGGGGCTGTGCCTGTGCTGTGCCCTCCTCCCTTTGATTTACCACTTCCTCACATCGGGTTTACAGCTGAGATCTGGCTCCTGGAGCTCTTCCTGTGTCCAACACAGAGGTTTTCCAAGTGTGGGGAATTTGGGGGCTTGCAGGGAGCTGCAGCAGAGTTTGCAGCAGCAGCAGCATCTCCATCCCAGCAGCACCTCCCAGCTCAAGGTCTGTGCCAGCACCAACCCAGGCTCTCCCTGGCACCCTCCCAAGAGGGATTTGCTCACAGATAAGGAGGAACAAAGGGGAGAATCGTTCTTTTGGGGTGTGCAGGAGGCTCATGATCCCAATCCACGCAGAGCCCTGGGCAGCAGAGCTCTCCTGGAGCCCAGCCCGACATGGAGCTGGAACCCTGTTTGGGCAGGGGGTGTTTCTGTATCCCGGTGGGAAGTGCTGCAGCCTGGGCACGAGGGGAGGAACTTGCAGGAAGAGCTCTTGGTGCTGGGCCAGGCTGTGCTCCCGAGCCCCGGGTGAGGATGGATGTGGGCTCTGGTTCCCTGTCAGTGTGCAGAGCTGGATCCTGGAGCAGCACAGGAGGGGTGGGGAGGAGCCTTCCTCCCTGGCTGGGGAGGTGCAGGGAAGAGCCAGGGTCCTGGAAGGGCCTGAAGAGGTTCTGGAGCTGTTTGCAGAATTCCTGCTTTGCCCCAAGCTCCCTTTCCAGCCCAGCTCCTTCCTGCACATCCATCCTGGGATTTATTGCTCCTCCTTCCTGCTGCCAGCCCTGATTTCTGGGCTGCCCTTCCTCAAGAAGGGACCTTTGGCAGGCTCAGAGGCTCCTGCCATGCCAGCAAACGTCCCTCAGGAGCCCTCCCAGCTCCGCTGGATTCAGCCAGGGCCGGTTCCGGGCAGAGCTGCCCCAGGCCCGTGGGCTGAGCGGTGCCCTGGGATGAACCCTGGGCACAGCCCGGTCCCTGGCAGGGAGCAGACACGAGCTGCTCGTCCCTGGCAGGGAGCAGACACGAGCTGCTGGCTGTCCCATTTCCAGAGGCTCTGCAGGGAGCGCTGGATGGGATCCAGGCTGTTCCTCCCGCTGAGCTTGCAGGGTTTGCCCTTTGTCTGCCCCTCCGAGGGGAGGGGACAGGGCGGGCCCTGGGGGTGGCACAGGGACTGGGGGTGCTGGGCAGGAATGAGCTCCTGCCCGGAGCTGGTTTAATCAAATTTCCTGAGTTTAAGCCCTCTGCATCCTGGGAATTTCCAGACTTTCCAAGAGGGGCTGGAGACAGGCTTCACCCCGGGGCTGTGGTGCTGCTTCCTGGCTTGGCTGAAGGTTTTAGGCTGGGCTTGTGTGAGAAGGGTTTGGGAGCAAGTCTGCCCCAGGCACTGGTGACTGGTTGAGCCAAGAGGCTTCTCTGTTGCAAATTTGAAAATCCCAAGAGTAAACTGAGAGGAAAACTCTGCAGGGAGGGTTCAGCCCTCCCCTTATTGCATCCAGGCAATCCAGTGTGGGTCCTTGGTGGGCTGGAAGTCACTCAGCTCCCTGGCAGCTGAGCTGTGGCTGATGGTTCTCAGATGGTGTGGGAGGTGATGGTGAAGTTAAAGCGTGACAAATCTGTGTATCCTTGTGCTGAACCTCTCCCTGCCAATGGAATTGGCTCAATGGAGCCCTGGAAGGAGCAGCTGGACTCACAAGAGAACTTGCCCAGGATGTGGAGCTGCCAAAGACTCTCTGAAGCCTACAAATCTCTCGCTTCAGGGTTAGATCCCAAATGTGCTCCATGGAGTGGCAGAGGGAGGGAGGAGAGACCTCAGGGCTGCTCTGGCCAAAGGACAGGAGCTGGGCATGGCTGGGTCAGCTCCAGGCAAGCCCCTGACAGCATTCCCGGGGCAGGGAATGTCTCTGGAGCTGTGGAACCTCCCTGGCCTTCCAGGCACTGATAAACACCCGGGGCAGGGTTTCCCTGGGAGCCATTTCCTGCTCCTGGTGCCTCCAGGGAGTGCAGGCTCTGCTTCCAGCCTGGGCTCTGCGCTCAGCTGCTCTGGGGGCCCAGGAGTTTCAAATTCAAAGTTTCCCAGCTCCTTCTGGGGATGTCTCTGCTTTTCAGAGCCCTGGCAGGTGCCAGCACAGGTTTGGGTTCCACAGGGGTTCCAAAGTCCTGCTGGAGCTGAGCTGCAGAACAACATTTACTGTGGTTTGTGGAGTTGCACAGGCTGTGGGTCCACCCGGCCCTGCCACAACGGATTTCTTGATAAACCCAAAGAAACTGGGCCTGGCCTTGTGGTTTTGGCACAGAGAGGTGCTGCTGGCCCCGCTCGCCCTCGGCGCTGCTGCCAGAGTCACGAGGAGCTGCACAAATGGGGCTGAGCAGGAGGAGAGGAACATCTGGGAGCAGGGAAAAGGAGCCTCCTGCCCTGGGGAAGGGAGGGTCAGAGCCCAGCTCTGGGCTTGCTGCTTCAAAGGCTCTGGAGCCTCTGTGGTTGTGTTTGTTGTGTAATGGGCTCAGCCTGGCCTGGGGGGGTTTGAGCTTCCACGTGCACTGCTAATCCTGGGGCCCTGCTGCTGCCCTGATCCTGCCTGGAACACTTCTCCTCTCGGATCTGCCACTGGCAGAGGCACCAGGGGCAGCTCAAACTCTTGGCTTTGTGTCTATCAGCTTTTCACAGAGGTGGGGGTGGTTGTTAGGGTTTTTTAGGCTGCAGCTCCATCAAACAAACTGCTGCTGCAGCTCTGAGCTGTGGAGGGCAGGCTGGCTGCATCCCCACCCTGCGCCAGGCTTAGCTCCCAGATGCACCCCTGTGTGCAGGGAGTGAGTGTTTCCTTGGCTCCCCGCCCTGCAGGGCTGGGGGGATGTCCTGGCACGTCAGGAGCCTGGGGCAGGGCAGAAATGTTGCTCTGCTGGCTCGGTGGCTCTCCCAGCCTCCCACCTTGGCAGGGGAGCTGAGGATCAGAGAGGATCCCGGGAAGCTGCTGGATCAGCCAAGGTGGAACAGGGAGGAGCAGGAGGGGTGGCTGTCCTGGGGGCACAGCCTGGTGGCACCTGAGGCACCAGTGGGTGCCAAATCATTGCTCTGAGAGTGCAGGGGGGCTGCCAGGGCTGGGACCCCTCAGGGTTGTGCTGTGGCTCCCAAATTCCCTGTGTGTGTCCCTGGAAGGGGAAGGAGGGGAGCTGGCTGCTGACAGGGGGGAGCTGCTGCCTCCTCCACCCCTCATCTCCTTCCTGCCTGGGGGAGGAAGTGGGATTGCCCTGCTCCCCCTGCTGTGCTGCTTTCCAGAGAGGAACCCACGGGGTCCCCAGGGTGGGGACATTGCTGGCAGTGTCCTCGTGCTGCTGCAGCTGGGGGGGGTGGCACAGGGCCTGACTTTGGCTCCTTGGCTTCTCCTGTGGCTTCTTTCCCATCACTTGCTGCAGCTCCTGCTGGCATTCCCTGCTCCCTGCCCTGGCCCGGGAGGCACCCTGGGGAAGAGGTGGCACCCAGGGTGGGTGCACTGAGGGTGGGTGGCACTGAGGGTGGATGGTACCCAGGGCGGGTGGCACACAGGGTGGATGGCACCCAGTGTGGATGGTACCCAGGGCGGGTGGCACCATGGCCAGGGTCCTGTTTCAGCCCTGCTCCATCCCTGTTCTGCAGCAGCGGCCCGGGATGCCCCCCGGGGGCAGGATGCCCATGGCAGGGCTGCAGGTGGGACCCCCAGGAGCCCCCCCGTATGGAGCAGCCACCCCGCTGAGGCCCGGCCTGCCCCAGGCCATGATGGATCCCTTCAGGAAGCGCCTGCTGACCCCCCAGGCACAGCCACCCATGGCCACCCCGAGGAGAGGGTAAGGCTGCCATGTCCCACCCCTGCGGGGTTCCTGGGGGGGACAGGGGGTCCTGCTGGTCCTGCTGAAATCCCGGGGTGGGTGGGGTGGAAGGACCTCAGAGCCCACCCAGTCCCACCCCAGGGCACCTTCCACTCTCCCAGGGTGCTCCAAGCTCTTTGGACATTCCCAGGACTGCCACACTAATCCACGCTGCCAGGGAGCTGCATCCCTGCTCCTCAGTGCATCCAGGCTGTGTTTCACCTCCTGTTTTCCATCTGAACTGAGCCAGGAGCTGCTTGGTTCAAACCAGGCACAATAATTCATTCCCAACAGGAATCTTCTGCTGGGAAACTTCTCCAGAGCAGAGGAGAGCCCTGCTCTGGAAGTACCTATATAAATATAAATAATATCTAATGTCAGTGAGATGTCACTGCAGAAAGAGCTGTAAAAAGATGGATGTCATTCCATTCAGGACAGGGATCCCAGGGCTGTGTTCAGCCAGTGTTTGACTCTCTTCAAGACCCCAAAGCCTCTCCAGGTCCCCATTCAAGTGTCACATCATGCAGCGTGCCACAGCTGCAGAGCAGGGGACCAGCAGGGTTTTCCTCCAGCCTGGCACCTGCCAGAGCTTGGGAATAGGATATTTTGGGATGGAGGGAATGGGATGTTTTGGGATGGAGGCAGAGATTCCTCAGCTTCCTCTCACTCTGATCTCCACACCAGGAACCAAAGAGCCTTGTGGGGTCCCCAGCAGCAGCTCCTGGGAGTCTTCTTCATCCTCCCTGGGATGCCTGATGGCACATGGCTGGAAGTGTGGGATGGGGCTGGCAGATTTTGGGGATGCTCCCTGGAGCTGCAATCAGGGCAGGACTCCTTGTTTGGGCTCTGCCAGCAGCTCCTCTCTGGTTGCCAGCCCTGGTCCCTCTCTGTGGGGGCTGTTTGCTTCCTAGAATCTCCAGGCAGGATCCCTTGGTGCTCATGGATGCTCAGGTCCCATTCCCTTCCCTGGCAGCTCCGTTGGTTCCCTGATCCCTCCTGGGCCACCCCAGCACTGCTCAGGCAGAGTGAGCTGGGGGCTGGGGACAGGGACATCAGAGCCATCCCATCAGGGCTGGGATCAGGCACCAGCCAGGCTCACAGCTGGGCATTCCCTGCTCCCAGCTGCTGGATCAAGGGATTAGGAGCTTCCAGCTGCCCTGGGGTGTCCAGACCCTGCAGGAGGAGGGGTTGGATGGGGCAGGCATTGCTCCAAAGCAGGGCTCTGACCTCTCCTGGAGTGTTCTCCTGGAGCATGCAGTGTCCCCCAGACCCCTCCTGTGTGATCCTGCTGCTCCAGGTGCAGCTGGAGGAATAGGAATTCCCTGTGCTGCTGGAGCCTGCCCCATCTCCCGGGCAGGAAAACAGGAGAGCATTCCCTGCTGTGCCCAGATCATTCCCTGCTGTGCCCAGAGCGTTCCCTGCTGTGCCCAGAACATTCCCTGCTGTGCCCAGAGCATTCCCTGCAGCTGCCTGGGCACTGGGATGGGCTGGGGCTGTTGGGAATCTGCAGTGGGCAGGGCTGGATCCAGCCAAGCTGGATTTTCCCAGGATTTCAGCCCCACCACAGCAGGGTTTGGTTTGAGCTGGGTTTAAGGGAGTTCTTGGCAGTGGCTTTGGTTTGGAGCACTGGGAGAATGGGATGGCTGCTTTGAGAGGGGAAGTTTGGGAATGCTGTCCTGCAGCCCTGGCTTTGCCTTGTTATCACCTTTGCTTTCTCCAGCATTTCCTGGATTTCCTTCCGTAGGGTCAGGCTGCAACATCCAACACCTTTCCCCCAGGAATAGCCTGAGTGGGAATGGACCCCCAGGACCATCCAGTCCCACTCCTGGCCCTGCCCAGACCCCCAGCAATCCCACCCTGGGCACCCCTGGCAGTGCTGCCCAAACCCTCCTGGAGCTCTGGCAGCCTCGGGGCTGTGCCCATTCCCTGGGGAGCCTGGGCAGTGCCAGCACCTCTGGGGAAGAAGCTTTCCCAAAATCCATGCCCCCAGAGGGCAGGCAGCAGGGTGTCCTGTGGGAGCTGTAATTTTCCCTGTTTCCCAGGGTGAAGAGGAGGAAGATGGCTGACAAGGTGCTGCCACAGAGGGTGAGTGTCACCTCAGCCCGGGGGACAGGGCTGAGCTGCTGCAGGGGATGGGGGTCCCCAAAAAGGGAGGATCTCCCTGAGTTCCCTCCTGCCCCCTGGGAATTTCTGTTCAGTCCCAAACCAGCCTGGAGTGTTTCTGTCTCTCCCTCTGGCACAGCAGGAGAGGGTTGGGGTGGGGCTGGACTCTGAGCAAGCGAGGAGCAGGAATGGGGTGGGATGGAGATCTCAGGAGGTCCCTAAGAGTCTCTCTTGGGATTCCAGGGTTCCATTCCATGCAGGAATGCTGCTGGGAACAGCAACAGGCTCCAGAGTGGTTTGGGGCAGAGCTTTGCAGGGCTCCAGGCTGGGTTTAAAATAAAACCTGGATGCTGGACTCATCACCTGGTGTCTCGCTGGCTGCTGGGGCTGTGGGGGGATCCAGCCCATCCCAGCACACTGGGATTGACCATTCCTGTGCCCAGATCCGGGAGCTGGTCCCAGAGTCCCAGGCCTACATGGACCTCCTGGCCTTCGAGCGCAAGCTGGACCAAACCATCGCTCGGAAGAGGATGGAGATCCAGGAGGCCATCAAGAAACCCCTGACGGTGAGCTGGGGCCTGCAGGGGGGCTGGAAGCCATGGAATCGTGGGAAACTGAAGGTTGGAAAATCCTCTGAGGTCATCCAGTCCAAGCATCACCCTAAGCCACGTCCCCAGCTGGAGTATCCACACGTGTCTGGGGCACTTCAGGGATGGGGATTCCACCTCTGCCCAGGGCAGCCCATTCCAATGTTTCACAACCCTTTCTGGGGGTAAATGTTCCCTAATATCCAGTCTAACCTCCCCTGAGGCCGTTTCCTCTCCTGCTGAGCTGGAGATGTGCACTGCAGTCCCCTCTCACCCCGTCCCTCCCTCTCTCTGTTCCCTCCCCACAGCAAAAGCGGAAGCTCAGGATTTACATCTCCAACACCTTCACCCCGGCCAAGGAGGAGGGAGAGGGGGGCGAGCGTGTGGCCTCCTGGGAGCTCCGAGTGGAGGGGAAGCTGCTGGAGGATGTGAGGATCCAGCAGGGATGGTGGGAGGAGCATCCAGGGGGAGGGAGGGAGGAGCTGGTCAGGATCCAGGAGGGATGGGGTGATGGTAGGAGGGGCTGGGATAGGGATACAGTGCTGGTGGGAGGAACTCTGGTCCATGGGGATCATCCAGGAGGGGTCAGGTGCTGGTGGGAGGAACTCTGGTCCTTGGGGATCATCCAGGAGGGGTCAGGTGCTGGGGGGAGGAGCTGTGGGTCCATCAGGACTCAGGAGGGATAAATGATGGTGGGAGGAAAATTACTGGTCCATAACAACCCAAGATGGATGAGGAGGGGTGGGAGCACTGCTCCATAAGGAGAGGGAAGAAGTGATGGTGGGAGGAGGAGCTGGTCCATCAGGGGCATCCAGGAGGGATGAGCAGGTGGGAGGAGGAGCACTGGTCCATCAGAACCATCCAGGAGGGATGAGGAGGTGCTAGAAGCACTAGTGCTGTGCTGAGAGCTCAGCTGGGACTGGATTTGGGATCAGGATTCTCTGCTGCCCTGTCTGCAGCCCAGCAAGCAGAAGAGGAAGTTCTCCTCCTTCTTCAAGAGCCTCGTGATCGAGCTGGACAAGGAGCTCTATGGGCCAGACAATCACCTGGTGGAGGTGAGGTGGGAGGGGATCCCAGTGGGGAATGGGGCACGGCCCTGCTGCTCCCCTCTGGGTGCTCAGCTCCCAGGCCAGGGCCTGTCCTGCTGGGAGAGGGGCCTGAGCAGGTTTTTGGGGCTGGGGGCAGTGTCAGGTCTCCATGGGGACCGGGCTCTCCTGCTTTCCCAGCTGAGGTTTAGGATGCCTTTCCTCCCCTGGCAGAGCTCAGCTCTGAGCCCTCCCAGCCCAGGTGCTCAGCCAGAGCTGGAGCTGTGCTGTGTGGGGCAGGGACGTGGCCCCAGAGGCAGCTTTGCCTCAGCCTGGCACAGATGGGTCCCCACAGGGGTGCTGATCCCACAGAGGCTCACCCCAGTGCCCTGTGGGAAGAAGGGTTTGCCCTCCTGCCTGTCCCTGAGCTGGAGGGTCCTTGGGGGTTTAAGCCATGCCTGGGAGAGGGATCAGACTTTTTTGGGTGCTCCTGCTGGAGCTCTCCCTGCACCCAGCTTGTGCCAGGGGGATCCTGTGGAGAGACTGAATCCCCTTGCAGGGGAAGCTGGGAGCAGCTCTGATGCACATTCCTGCAGGATTGATCCAGAACTGTGGGAGCCCTGCAGCCCAAGCACTCAGGGCTGGAGCTGCCCCAGTCCATCCCCGTGCTGGGCTGGGAGAGCTCCGAGCTGCCACCACTGGGACCAGGAGCTGCTGGGGTGCCCCAGGCTGTGCCCGGAGCCCCAGCCCAGCTCTGCAGACACCAGTCCTGCTGGCAGGGCTGGTTCCATGGCCCTGGCCTGAGCAGTGTCCCCATTGTCCCCCGCAGTGGCACCGGATGCCCACGACCCAGGAGACCGACGGCTTCCAGGTGAAGCGTCCCGGGGATGTCAATGTGAAGTGCACCCTGCTGCTCATGTTGGACCACCAGGTACGGCCTGGGGCCACCTGGGGGCCACCCAGGGGTGGGGATGGGCTGGGACAGGGCCTTGGATGAGGGTTTGGGAGTGCAGGGGTTGAAAGGAGCACAGGGAGCTCCAGGCATGGACCCACAGTGACACAGGGGCCAGACAGACACTCCCCTCTTCTTTGGGTAGCAGCAGCAATTTCTCCATGGAAAGGGAGTTAAAAACTGGGACAGGGTCTTGGATGAGGGTTTGGGGGATGCAGGGATCAAAAGGTGCACAGGGAATTCTGGGCATGGAGCTGCAGTGACACAGGGGCTGGGGGGACACTCCTGAGTGCCTCTTCTTTGGGCAGCAGGAGGAATTTCCTCATGGAAAGGGAGTTGCAAACTGGGACGAGATGCCCAGAGGGTGGTGGAGTCTCCATCCCTTCAGCTGTCCCAGGAACACTCAGTGCTCAGGCTGGGGACAGGATGGGTGGGTCGGGCTGGGGTTTCTCCAGGGGTGCTTTTCCAGCCTGGCTGGTTCTGTGGCTGACCCCGCTGTCCCCACAGCCCCCCCAGTACAAGCTGGACCCGCGGCTGGCCCGGCTGCTCGGGGTGCACACCCAGACCAGGGCCAGCATCATGCAGGCCCTGTGGCTCTACATCAAACACAACAAACTGCAGGACAGCCACGAGAAGGAGTTCATCAACTGCAACCGCTACTTCCGCCAGGTACCTGCCCATTACCCCCTCATCTGGCTGGGAAGAGCCTCTCACAGCCCCTCCAGGCTCTGGCTGTGCCCCTTCCCTGGGCTCTGACTTGCACCACCAGCTTGGGGATGCCCCACCTGGCTGCACAGGTGAGGGGAGACCCTGCCATGGGTGCCAAAGGCTCTGCTTTGCCCCCCCAGATCTTCAACTGCGTCCGCATGCGCTTCTCCGAGATCCCCATGAAGCTGGCAGGGCTCCTGCAGCACCCAGACCCCATCATCATCAACCACACCATCAGGTGGGGGCACAGCCTGGGCACGGCCCTGAGGGCTCTGGGCTGGGCGCTGGCTGGGCAATGGCTCCAGGGCTGAAGGGGCCCCATGGGATGGGCAGTGTCTGCAGGACTGGGGGTGCCCCATGGCGTGGAGAGTGGCCAGTGTCCCTGGGACTGGGGGACTCCGTGGGCCAGGCAGTGTCCCCAGGGCTGGGGGTGCTCAGTAGGGTGGGGAGCGAGCCCAGCAGTGTCCCCAGGGCTGGGGGGCTCTGTGGGCTGGGGGCGCAGGAGGCTTTGAGGTCTCCAGCCTGAAGGACCAGCACAAGTCACCTGGGAGGGGAACAACCACGAAATTTGAGGCTTCTTGGGGCACTGGTGTTGCTGTTGGGGGTCCATCCACCCCCAGCCAGGTGGGGGCTCAGCAGGTCCCCCCAACCCCATTCCCCCAGTGTGGACCCCAATGACCAGAAGAAGACAGCCTGCTACGACATCGACGTGGAGGTGGACGATCCCCTCAAAGCCCAGATGAGCAACTTCCTGGCCTCCACCACCAACCAGCAGGAAATCGCCTCCCTGGATGCCAAGGTGGGAGGGGACACTGCCAGGGGGAGCCGTGTCCTGGGGGGGGGACACAGCTCCTCTGACCCCTGTCACCTGCCCAGATCCATGAGACCATCGAGTCCATCAACCAGCTGAAGACACAGAGGGATTTCATGCTGAGCTTCAGCAACAACCCCCAGGATTTCATCCAGGAGTGGATCAAATCCCAGAGGAGGGACCTCAAGGTAAAGGGGAACAATTTTGGGGAGGTTTAGGTTGGATGTTGGGAGAAATGTTTTCCTGGAAGGGCAGTGGTGGAGTCCCCATCCTTGGAGGGGTTCAGAACCATGGATGTGGCCCTTGGGGATGTGGGTCACTGGTGAACGTGGTGGTGGGCTGAGGGTGGGAGGTTTTTTCCAGCCTTAACAAGTGCATGATTCTGAAGCCCTGGGGCTGGGCAGGATGGGGGGCTGGGAAGGGTCTGGTTCCATCCCAGAGCTCAGGGAGGGGTCTGGGTCCCTCGTGGGTCCCTCTGGATCCCTCACTCCTGCTGCCCCGTCCCGTTTGGGTCAGATCATCACGGATGTGATCGGGAACCCCGAGGAGGAGCGGCGGGCCGAGTTTTACCAACAGCCCTGGGCGCAGGAGGCCGTGGGCAGACACATCTTTGCCAAGGTGAGCTGGGGGGTGGGACGGGGTCGGGGTGGCAGTGGCAGAGCCCCGGGAGCCCGGGCGGTGTCCCCTGTCCCTCCCTGACCGCCGCGGTGTCCCCAGGTCCAGCAGCGCCGGCAGGAACTGGAACAAGTGCTCGGGATCCGCCTCACTTAAGGCGGGCGGGGCCCGGGGCCGCCCCCGCCCCGCTGCCCGAGCCGGACGGTACCGACTGGAAGCCACAGCACTTGCACAAACCCGATGTGCCTGGAGGGAGGGGAGCCCCCGGGGCTCCCCGGGCCGAGCACAGCGGAGTCCCCGCTCCCCCCAGGCCCCCGCAGCGCCTCCTCCGCTTTGCATCGCGCCCTCCCCGCGCAGCCCCCGCGGGTTCCCCGCTCCCCTCCCGCTCCCAAAGCTCCCCCGGGGCCGGGAAGCGCTGCCCGTGCCCGCGGGGAGGAGCTGCCAGCCCCATCCCGAGCCCCGCAGGCCCGCCCTGCCCCTCTTCTACCAAAGTTCGTCATTCCAAACGCCAGCTCCCCCCGACGTTTTGCACTATTTTTGTGAACAGGTTTTATATATAAAAAAAACCCCCAAAAACGCAAAAAAAGAAAAAGGCAGCGTTTTGTACAGTGGGTTTGTATTTGATTAATTAATTAATATATTGATTGAGTTCCTCTTCCTGCACTGGGCTCTGCAGGGGCTCAGGGAGGCTCCCAGGGCTGCTCTGGGGATACGGAACCGAGGGCTGGGGCTCATTTTGTGACAATCAGTTTATTCTTTACCCCCCCTCCCGCTGTTTTACATAATTCCACAATTAACCACTTGTCTTGACGAGGTTTGGGGGCAGAGGGGCTGGCTCTGCCCCAGGAGCCTGTGGGGGCACAGGGGCACCAAGAACTGGAGATACTGGGGAGCAGGGAGGGGACCAGGGGGCAGTGCCACCACTGCCACCCCCACTGAAGTGCCTTTGCCCCCCTGCAGGCTCCGAGGTGGGGGGGCGTTTACAGATTCCCAGGGTTGGGCTCAGGGGTTTCTGCTCTGCCTCTCGTGTAACCAGTTTTTGTCTATTTTGGATCTTTTCTAATAAAAGCAGTTAGCAGCAGCTCTGTGGGGTGTGTGCTGTGTCCTGCAGCTCCTGTGGGCTGTGCAGGGTCCTGCAGCCCCCACCCCAACCCCAAATAAGTCCCCAACTCAGCACCCGGGCCTGGCCACAGCAGCTCTTTATTGACAGCACAGAGGGAGCAGCTCCAGCCTCACCGTTACTTCCACAGCTTCTTGATAGACATGTTCTTCTCACTGTCCTTCTGCATCACCTGGGGGGAGAGGACAGGGGTGGGTCCAACATTCCGTGCCCACATTGGGTGTTAATTACCCCAGAAAGGCGTTTCAGCCCTGCACAGGGAGGGCTCAGCAGCCTCTCCCATGTCACTCACGGTGACAATCCCCTTGTTTGTGCTCCTGGCAAACGCCACCCAGGACACTTTGTGCCCCCATCACCCCCCAATGTCACCTCTCCCCTGGCACCCACCTTGGCCACGGCCATCTCGAAGTCCTCCTGTGTGACGTGCACTCTCCTCTCCCTCAGGGCATACATCCCTGCCTCTGTGCACACACCCTGAGGGGACAGGAGGGGAGCATCAGCCAGTGCCCCCCGTGGCAGCCCCCATGTCCCCAGAGTCCCCAGCTCACCTTCACCTCAGCCCCCGAGGCCCCCGGCATCAGCTCCGCGATTTTCCGCAGGTTGATGCCCCGGGTCAGGTTCATCTTCCGTGAGTGGATCTTGAGGATGTCCAGGCGGGCCTGGAGCAGGAGCACAGGGAGGATTGGAGCCCAGATTGGCTCCCAGGGAGAGGGTGGGGACAGCACGGACAGGGCCAGCCGGGTGTGGCTGTGGTACCTCCTCGTTGGGAGGGGGGAATTCGATTTTCCTGTCGATGCGGCCGGGGCGCAGCAGGGCCGAGTCCAGGATGTCGATCCTGTTGGTGGCCATGATCACCTGCACAGGGGACAGCTGTCACCACCCCGGGCACCGCGGGGCTGGCAGGACCCCAGGCAGGGCCACCCCCTCTACCTTGATGTTCTTGGTGGCCTCGAAGCCGTCGAGCTGGTTGAGGAGCTCGAGCATGGTGCGCTGCACCTCGCTGTCGCCGCCGGAGCCGCCCTCCAGGCGCGACGAGCCGATGGAGTCGATCTCGTCCATGAAGATGATGGAGGGCGCGTGCTCCCGCGCCATCACGAACAGCTCCCGCACCATGCGGGCCCCTGGGCACGCCGGGCTCAGCCTGGCCCCGAGCCCACGCAGCCCCCAGGAGCCCCAGAGCCGCCCCCACCCCCGTACCTTCCCCGATGAACTTCTGCACCAGCTCGGAGCCGGACACGCGGATGAAGGTGCAGTCGGTGTGGTGGGCCACGGCCCGGGCCAGCAGCGTCTTCCCTGTGCCGGGGGGGCCGTAGAGCAGCACCCCCTGCAACGGCCACACGGCCCTCAGAGCCTGCCTGGGGCCACGGGCCAGCCCAGGCCCCCAGCAGCACTTGCCTTGGGCTGCGCGATGCCCAGCGCCTCGAAGAGCTCCGGGTGCTTCACGGGCAGCTCGATGACCTCCTTGATCTCCTTGATCTGCTTGTCCAGGCCCCCGATCATCTCGTAGGTGGAGTCTGGGACCTTCTCCACCATCATGAGGGACACCAGCGGGTCCACCTTGTTGGGCAGGATCTTGTGCAGGGTGTAGCTGTCGTTGCGCAGGGCCACGCGGCAGTTGGGGGTCACCTGTGGGGACAGCACGTGGGTGGGTGTCCCTGTCTGCCCTGGGGACCCCCCACAGCCCCGGGGCACTCACATCATTGATGTCGATGTTCTTGTCCACATCCACCACGAACTTCCCCTCTGGGTGCACCTGTAAAGGAGCAAAGACCCCCCGGAGTCGTTTCCCTGGGAATTCCCTGCTGAGGGACACCCCCACGGCCTGGGAGGAGCAGGAGCCAGGAGCTCCAACCCCACTGCACACCCCAGGGCAGCCCCGGGCCCAGCAGAGCCATCCCAACGAGCTCCTCTGCACAAGGAGCTCCCACCCCACGTCCCCAAGCTGTCCCATGCCCTGTGGGGACATGGGGCTGTCCCCCAGCCCAGCCCTGTCACCTGGGGGCAGCTCAGCCTCATACCTTGACCAGCACCTTCTTCTTGTCCATGGCTCTCACCACCTCTCCCACGTAGGATCCCTGCTCCTGCAGCAGCTGCAGCTCCTCCCGCAGCAGCCGCACTGGGGAGGGACAGCTCAGCACCAGCCCTGGCAGCTGGAGCCCCCAGGGGAGCCCAGAGCCTCCAAAGGCCAGCCCAGAGACCCCAAAGGCCAAAGGCCAGCCCAGAGACTCCAAAGCCCAGCCCAGGGTGCCCCAGGCCCAGCTCAGGGGAGCAGGAGGAGCTGCAGACCCTACCCTTGGCGTTGAGCTCGTTCCTCTGCGCCTGCAGCCGCCGCAGGTTCTGGCTCTTCTCGTTCACGATGAGCTGCAGGGAAAGGCTTTGTTGAGTGCCCTCGGGCTCAGGCACACCCAGCACAGGGAATCGTGGAATGGTTTGGCTTGGAAGACATTTTACAGCTCATCTCATCCCACCTCTGCCATGGCAGGGACACCTCCCACTGTGCCAGGCTGCTCCAGCCCCAGTGTCCAGCCTGGCCTTGGGCACTGCCAGGGATCCAGGGGCAGCCCCAGCTGCTCTGGGCACTCTGTGCCAGGGCCTGCCCACCCTCACAGGGAACAATTCCTCATTCCCAATCTCCATCCATCCCTGCCCTCTGGCAGTGAGACAGGGACCTGAACAGGAGCAGCCCCAGCTCAGAGCACAGCCCCACCCCGTGTCCCCAGAGCAGGTCCTGCCTGCCCACAGCCCTGGGCCAGGTCGTGTCCCCAGAGCCCCCAGAGCAGGTCCTGCCTGCCCACAGCCCTGGGCCAGGGGCACAGCATCCCGGCTGGAAGCACAGTGACACGGTCCTGTGTGCCCCGCGCTGTGCTCACCTGCAGCTCCTCGATCTTGGACAGGTAATACTGCCGCAGCCCCGAGCCGCCCTTGCCGTCGTCCATCTCCATCTGCGACAGCCGAGCTCAGCACCGCGACAGCCCCGCACGCCGCCGGCCCCGGGGAGCCCCGCCGGGCCCGATCCCCCCTCAGCCCCGCTCCCGGGCCCGATCCCCCCTCAGCCCCGCTCCTGGCTCCTCTTTTCCCTCCTCCCATGCTGTTCCCAGTTTCCGATCCCGCCTCCCGCGCGGGTCCCGAGCGTCCCTCCCCTCCCTCCCTCCCTGCCCGACACCCCCGAGTCCCGTCCTCCCAGGCGCCCAGAGCAGCCCCAGCTCCCGTTCCCCTGCAAGCCCCCCGCTCCCGGTCCCGGTCCCGTCTCGCCGCTCAGGCTCCGCCGCCTTCCCCAAACCCGCCAAGTCACGGCGCTGGCAGGCCCCGAGCAGCCCCGGCCGCAGCACAGCCCGGGCAGCCCGAGGCGCCCCGAGTCGCTCCCCGAGCTCCGCCGACCCCCCCCAGCCCGGCCCGGCCCGGCCCGGCCCGGCCGCACCTGCTCGGGCCCGTCCAGCGCCATCTTCTCCGCCGGCATCGGGCCCCAACAAAGATGGTGCCCGCCGGCTTCCGCTGCCCGGCCCTGCCGCCCGGCTTGATGGCGTCACTTCCCCTTTCCGGAAAGCACACGGCCAGGCCGTGCAGTGCGCATGCGCAATGGCTCGTGTCGGGACTGCGCTGCCATCTTGGGGCGGTCGAGCGTGAGGTGTCCGTGGGTAAAGAACGGGAGGGGACGGACAGGGTTGGGATCGCACCACCGAGCGGGCTCGTTGTTGTTCACCGCCCCTCCGAGGGACCCGTTATCCTTCCCCTTCTTCCGCCCGCAGGCTGCGAGGAGGGGCGCGCCACTCCTAAAATGGCGGCCAGAGCAAGAGGAAGCGGAAGCTGAGTGCTTCGCGCAGGGCACGGCGGGCAGGCGGTGCGGGCACGCGGCGGGACGGGACCGGGACCGGGAGCAGCAGCAGCAGCAGGAGCAGGAGCAGGGTCTGGGGCAGCAGCAGGGTCTGGGTCTGGGTGGGGATCGGGTCCGGATCGGGGCCGTGCCGGTGTCCCGCCGGTGTCCCGGGGGCGGCTCGGGCTGGGGAAGGGGCTACGGGGGTGTCAGGGCTGGGGGCATGTCGAGCCCGGGTGGTCGGAGGCTTCAGGGGAGAACAGCGGGGCCGGGATGCGCCTCGGGGGCAGCGGGGCGCGGGTGAGCCTGAGGGGGCAGTGCCGGGAGCGATGGGGGGCGCTGGGGGGACTGGAGGGCACTGGGAGAGGAACTGGAGGGGCACTGGGGGAGTACTGGGAGGGCAGTGAGGGAGGAACTGGAGGGGCACTGGGAGGGGTAACGCGGGGACCACGGAGAGGGAGCTGGAGAGACGCAGGGAACACTGAGGGAACACTGGGAGGACACCGAGGGAGGCCGGGGCTCCCCGCAGCCCCTCGGGGCCCCCAGGCCGCCCCTCAGCCCCGTGTCCCCCCAGGCCCGAGCCCTCGGCTGACAGCTCACCCCAGCCCCCCCGAGGGGCCGCCCCGCCGCCGCCATGGGCAAGAAAAGCAAACTGGGCAAGAGCCGGCGGGACAAGTTCTACCACCTGGCCAAGGAGACGGGTGAGGGCCGTGCCCGGCGCTGGGGACGGGGCCCGGGCCCGGCACCCCCTGAACCAGCCTCCTGCTCCCCCCAGGCTTCCGCTCCCGCTCCTCCTTCAAGCTGCTGCAGCTCAACCGCAAGTTCCAGTTCCTGCAGAAGGCCCGGGCCCTGCTGGACCTGTGTGCGGCCCCCGGCGGCTGGTGAGTGGGGACAGGCCGCCCACCGTGCCACCAGCTGGCCCCGTGCTCTGTCCCCACCCCTGGCAGCACAGCGCCAGGCTGAGAGCTCTCCTGGGCTCCAAGCTCTGCTCCCCTCTCTTCTTCCCAGGCTTCAGGTGGCTTCCAAGTTCATGCCGGTGTCCAGCCTGATCATCGGTGAGCGCTGGCGTTTGGCAGGAGCTGGGGACAGTCCCTGGCTGTGACAGGCACAGGGGGTCCTGGCAGGGGGGCTGCGTGGGGAAGCCACGTGGGATGGGCCGGAGCCCCTTCTGAGGGGGTTTGCTGTGTTTCTTCACCCAGGGGTGGATTTGGTGCCCATCAAGCCCATTCCCAACGTGGTGACCCTGCAGGAGGACATCACCACCGAGAAGTGCCGCCAGGTACTGCCCTGTGGTTGTGCTTGAGGGTCCCCAGCACCAGGGAGGAGATGAGAATCTTGGCTCCGTGTTCTGGAAAGCTGATTTATTGTATTATTATATTAAGATGCTATACTAGAACTATACTAAAAAGAATAGAGAGGGGGGATCTATCAGAAAGCTGGAAAGGAAGGGAATGAGTAATAAAAACCTGTGAGTCTCAGAGAGTCCATGCAGCTGGATCATGATTAAATAGAAACAGCCAACGTGAACCAATCAAAGATATACCTGTTGCATTCCACAGTAGCAGATAATTATTCGTTTTCTTTTCCTCTGAGACTTCTCAGCAGAAAAAATCCTGGTGAAGGGATTTCCATAAAATATCATGGTGCCACTGCCCCAGGGTCACCTGCTGGCCTGGGGCCCTGCAGGTCCCCGTGGTGGCAGGGGGGTCACAGGGGATGGGCTGGGGTCCTCGCTGAGGGACAAACAGGTGTCCCTGTCCCACAGGCCCTGCGCAAGGAGCTGCAGACGTGGAAGGTGGACGTGGTGCTGAACGATGGAGCGCCCAACGTGGGAGCCAGCTGGGTGCACGACGCCTACTCCCAGGGTGGGCACACAGGGACAGCTCCCTGCTCCTAGAGAGCTCCAGGCTGCTCGGGCTTGGGAGGGATCTTAAAGCCCATCCAGTGCCACCCCTGCCATGGGCAGGGACACCTTCCCTTGTCACAGGGTGCTCCAAGCCCTGTCCAACCTGGCATTAGGGATGGGGCAGCCACAGCTTGTCTGGGAAACCCATTCCAGCCTGTCTCTACCCTCCCAGGGAAGGGTCAGTCCCTCCCTCCCTCACTCCTTGTTCTCTCCTGCTGCAGCCAACCTGACCCTCATGGCCCTGAAGCTGGCCTGTGAGTTCCTGTGCAAGGGTGGCTGGTTCATCACCAAGGTGTTCCGTTCCCGGGATTACCAGCCCCTGCTGTGGATCTTCCAGCAGTTCTTCCAGAAGGTCCAGGCCACCAAGCCCCAGGCCTCCCGCAACGAGTCCGCTGAGATCTTTGTGGTGTGCCAGGGTGAGCAGCCAGGGGGACCTGGTGGGGCTGGGGTGGGGCTGGGAGAACCTGCTGGTGGCTCTGATCCCTCCATTCCAGCAGGAGTGACTGATACTTCCATTCTGGGTGGCACTGATCGTTCCATCCCAGCAGGAATGGTTCTGATCCTTCCATTCTGGGTGGGTCTGATCCCTCCATCCCAGCAGGAGTGGTTCTGATGCCTTCATGCTGGGAAGAATGGCTCTGCTGGCTGTGATTCCTCCATCCTAGGAGGAATGGTTTTCATGGTTCTGATTCCTCCTGGGATGGTGGAATGGCTCTGAGCCCTCTCTCTCCAGAGAAGTAGCTCTGATCCCTCCATCCCAGGAGGAATGGCTCTGATTCCTCCATTCTGATTGGTTATGAGCCCTCTGTGCCAGAGGAATGACTCTCACGGCTCTCATCCCTCCACTCCAGGTTATCAGGCTCCAGACAAAATTGACAGCAAGTTTTTTGACCCCAAATATGCTTTCAAGGATGTGGAGGTTACCGCCAAGTCTGTCAGTGAGCTGGTCAGCAAAAAGAAGCCCAAGGTATGAGCAAGGCCAGACACAAATGGGACTGGGCCTAAAGAGCTTGAGAGAATTAAAGTTGTTCTGGAGAATGCAGGATTTTGGGATGGGAAGTATTGGAAAAGCCACTCTGGGAGAGGTTTGGAGCCCTAAAGTCACTGAAGTGGGGATTGTGAGGCTGGGGCTGGGTCAGTTAAACCCTACAGGGGTTGAGCACAGGGTTTGTGTCTCTCTGAGGTGGCTTTAGGACAGTCAGTCTGTGTTAGGTAGTCTTAACTGAGTGTGGAGCTGACAAAATCCTGCCATTGTCAGCTCCTGTGTCTGAGGGGGGCTGGGAGCTGCTGCTGGGCTGGGGCTGGTGACGACTTCTAGCTCAGGCTGAGGCTGGAAACGATTTCTAAAGTCCTTGAGATCAATCCACAGACACGTTTACGTGGTCACTGCAGCAAGACACGAATTAGGTGACCCCATCCACCATTCAGGGCTGGTGGTATCTGCCTGTGTGTCCCCTGCCCTGGCTGCCACAGCCCCTTTTCCCCCCAGGCCGAAGGCTACGCCGAGGGTGACACCACCCTGTACCACCGCTTCACCCTCATGGACTTCCTCAAGGCTCCCAACCCTGTGGACTTCCTCTCCAAGGCCAACGAGGTGAGTGCCTGGAAGGACTCTCTGTCCCCGTCCTGTGGAGGAGAGGCTGGGATTTAAATTTAAATCCCTTTTCTTGTGCCAGATCACACTGGGAGATGGGGAGCTGGAGAATCACAGCTCCACCACGGAGGAGCTGCGCCAGTGCTGCAAGGACATCCAAGTGCTGGGCCGCAAGGAGCTCAGGTGCTGGGGGACACTGGGGCAGCCACACCCCCAGCTGGGCCTGGGGGACAGCCACACCCCCCAGGTGGCCCTGCTGGCTGTCCCTAACAGCTGCCACCCCACCCAGGGCCCTGCTGAACTGGAGGACGAAGCTGCGGCGGTTCCTGGCCAAGAAGCTGAAGGAGCAGGCGAAGGAGTTGGATATCAAGTAGGGCCACGGAGCAGAACTGTCTCCAGGCTGGGGTGGGCTGTCCCCAGCACAGCTCCTCTGAGCTTCTTCCTTTTGGCAGCCTGAGCTCCGGTGAGGAGGAGGAGGGCAGGGAGGAGGAGAAGAAGGAGAAGATGGAGGCGAAAGCTGCGGCTGCTGAGGAGGCGAAGGAGCAGGAGGAGGTGGAGCTGGCCTTGGCAGAGATGAAGGCGAAGGAGCTGGCAGAGCTGAAGAGGTAAAAAGAGGAGGAGGGATGGGGTTGCAGCCATGAAGACAGAGGGTGGCAGTGTCAGCCTGTCCCTCTGCTGGGGGGTTTGTGAGTTTGGGGTCCTTGGGCTCCTCTGCTCCTCCAAGCAGTGTTCCAGGCTGTCCCAGCACTCCTCGCAGGGGGCTGGCAGTGCTGTGGCAGGGGGTGAGCCTCTGGGCTGTTTGTGTGTGGTGGGGACAGTGTGGCCTCATTCCTTTGCCTCGTCCAGGAAGAAGAAGAAGATCCTGAAGGAGCAGAGGAAGCAGCGGGAGCGTGTGGAGCTGAAGATGGACCTGCCTGGAGTGTCCATTGCCGACGATGGTGACACCAGCATGTTCTCCCTGAAGAGCATCCACAGGACCCCGGTGGGTGGGGAGCTCCTGGGGACAGCAGGGTGAGACAGGGGCCTGGCTTGTCACCTGTGTGACTCTAAGCTGTGCTGCAGCTGCTGAATGAGCTGTCCCGCGGGGACATGGCCTCTGCTGACGCCCTGCTGGAGATCAGCCCTGGGGACGATGACATCTACGTGTCTGATCACGATGAAGAGGACGACGTGTCCCTGGCCAGCGACCTGGACCCAGAGGAGCTGCTGGAGATCGAGGCCCGGCA